GCCTACCGACGTAGCACTGCTGTGTCGTAATGCGTCGCGTTAAGGCGCAGGTTGAGCAAAATGTCGCGCTAGTCGTTATTTGGGCGGTTTTTAGAAGCTATCTACTTTTTATTTAAAAGATATATCAACAAATAAAAAACACATTATATTTCTACATAATCTTGATTCCATAAAAGCTATATCCAATTTTTTTTTAAAGGAATAAATATTAATATAATCTCCTTACAACGAAACCACATAAATGTGAAATTATTATTGATAACATGCATCTCCTCGTAAAGTAAGTATTATTTTATTTTGCGATTTACACCAATGGATAGGCAATTTATTAATGAACATTTCTATAGTAAATTTTTTTTCAAAAGACCAAAATTTGATTTTATTAAGAAATTATTTTAAAATCTGGGCATATTTACTGCTCACGGGCTTGGTGAAGTCAGTGAGCGCTGAGCTCTTCGACGCGAAGCCCGTGTTGTTAGAGCGTCGACCAACGCATACGCCACGTCATATGAGTCGATAATATTATTACTTATTAGGTTATTTATAGGTAGTATTATTTGTTTGTTTTGGGTATAATTTTTCGTATTGGTTATACATATATTTGTTGTGTTTTTTACTGCGCGATGAAGCTTTTTGCGTGTATTTTCTCTGAAGTAAATGCAAATAAAAAAATTAAGCACCATTAGCATGTAAGGTTCGAATCTATAATGAAAATTTCGACAAATATTATAATTTACACTATAAAAGGCTAATTCAATATTATCACCCAACCACAATATCTTATCAGGTATAGTACTGCCTCGTTGGTCTAGTGGTTGTAGTAGTGCGACTGCTGTTCATGAGGTCCCGGGTTCGAATCCTGGGTCGGGCCAAAAAATCAGTTATGAGTTTTTCATTTATGTTCTAAGTTATAATTAGTATTGCTAAGTTATAGTTTTTTGCTAAAATATAGTATATTATTTATTGCTTGTTTTTTCTTCTTTTTCAAAAAATAATTGAGTACATAAGGTGTTCTATACTTATAATTCGGTAAAAAGTACTAATATACCTACTTTTTACTATAAACTAAAAATTTTTAAAATTAAATTTAACTAAAAAGACTAAACTGACCATTTATTTTTTAACTCATAACAGGACATGGGTTTATTTATACTCTAAAAACTATAACTTTATACAATTAGTGTTCACTATAAAATTATATTCGGTATAGACGGTAATTATTAAATGCAACATATTTTTTTTAATTATTAATTACATTTGTCAGTGGATTAAATTTGCTTTAATAAAGTTGGTGATGATTTTAAATAAGAATAAAATTCTGCTCAAGTTTTTTATTGTTATCTTTGTTAACAACATCGCCTTTAGAACTCTGGAACCGTAAGTAAGTGTTTCTTTCAGACGTCCACAATTTATGCAAAATAAAAAAATACTCTTTCTACCGGAGCATTCGTACCAGGTAGACATAAAATATATTCGATTAAAAAAAATTATGTTGAAGATTGTTGACTTTGAATACTTCCATCCAACTAGTTACATGACAATTTTGTGTCCCGGAGCTTTGTTTGGGGACAATGGGACAGGAGACCGAGAAAAGGGACAGTCCCGTTCAAAACGGGACGTATGGTCACTTTAGCTATAACCCGGCGACCATGAAGCAAATACAAAGTTAGTCTTTGTATTAGCTTCATGGTGGCGCAGTGGCTTAGCAATCAGTTGTTGCGCTGGGGGCCGCGGGTTCGAATCCCGCATGGAACAAGTATTTGTATGGCCTACAAATAATTGTTCCGGGTCTGGATGTTTGTCTTTGTGCAATTTATGTTTGTAAACTGCCTCCACGACACAGGAGAAAATCCTAGTGTGGGGGTAACGTTTTTTTACAACTGAAATTGAAAGATTGAACCCTTATACTTCTTGTTGATTTTTGTATTACCTTTATTAAAGTTACCCTTATGTATAAATAAATATAATTACGTATGTAGAAATAAAATTGATTTTCATCCTCATCAATCATTGGGGTGAGGATAATATCTGCCAGCATAAGTTCAAAAATTAGTAGGTAACTTTTCAATACGTGACACGTAAAAATTAACAATAATCAAAAACACATATGCGAAACATCCTATTTATTTATTTATTTTTTATTGCACCAAATATTTGTACAAAAGCCGAGCTATCTATTTATTTACCTATAGTGAATAGGTATCTTTTAAACTCACAATTTTCAATGCTTCAGTTTTAATATATAATTAATTATAAAATTTCTTAATTAGATAATATATGAAAATACATAATTCTAATATAATGCATATATGCAATTATAATATATACAGAATAAAAAAATTAAAATACATTTATCTTTGTACGCTATGTGTATTTCCATAAAATAGTTTATTGATGTTGAAAAAATAATACTACTTTCGTACAATAGGTGGCGTCCTTCATATTTCTTCCGGCGAGCCGCTCGCTACAATATATTAATATTGTAGCAAGCGGTCAAATGCTCAAGGTCGTTCGCATGGAGTAGCCCCTTAAGCATTACGTTAATATTATACATATATGTAGAAAGGGTAATTTTGTATTGTACAGAGACTAATTTTGTAGGAATAATAATTAATTCGTTTACACGAATTAACTATCCAACGAGTCAAGGATAAACTAGTTACGGAATACGATAAGCGCACCGTTCCACGTCAGAGCCAAGACTGCCGTTCTGTTGCTGCGCGTTCATTTTATACCCGTTGCAAAACAAGTTGAGTAGTGGGGCGGTGGGAGAAATCGTGTGGCGCGCCGGGTGCACGTGTTGTTTATAGTTATCATCTGTGCCAGCGCACGACGACGCTGTCGTTATGTCGTCATATATATACATTGCCCTATGAAGGAATTACTGACTCTTTGGAGTCGAGTAACTAACTTGTGCTTGTTCCTAGTATTTACTACTACTACTTATGTACATCACTGTTTTTTATAAAACTATTTTTCTTTTTGTGTACATACAAAAAGAATACATTATACATACAATATTTTATTTTAGAACAATGTTTATAACTATCACAATAACCATAACAAAATAGTCATCAGTGAAGTCGATAAAAGATAAAGTTACCTCATTCTTTCATTTCTGAGAGGGTTTTAGGGCGGACATGTAAATGTCCGCCGCGATGCCCCAATGTGTTTTGGCGAACTTTTTTTTTATATATGAGCTTACTTGATGGTAAGTGACTGCCCATGAACAAACGCAACACAAGGTAAAATACAGATGCATTGCCGGCCTTTTTAATTAGAGTAGGCTCTTTTGTTGGAAAACAAACAACACACTTAAAATTTCTTTGAAATATTTTTTCTTATTTCTTAGACAGGTTTCTTTACGATGTTTTCCTTCACTGTCGAGCACGTGGTATATCAGCACTTAAAATTACAATTAACAATTTCATTGGTGTTGGCGCGGTGGAGGGGTTACGGGATTCAGTCGAAACCTATAACTTCAAGCAAAGGCTATCAAAGCACCGTCGTACCTGAACACTGTTAAAAACTTTCACAAGCTTTTACCTTTACCCTTGAAACATTAACACCGCGGTGAGGGCACTGTCCACGGCAGATATAGATACGAAACTATGTGGGAAGTATGTAAAACTTGGGAATGATTTATATGAATCATAGACAAGGCTATTCCAAATTTTGTTGAAGGCATACCTATTGTATGTTGCAGCCATTCTAGCTTTATTAATGGCCAACATCTCACTTATGACATCCACGGCATGAGATGGTATAATGAAATTTATGTTGACATCATCACGCAGCGATTACTGTATCAGTACCTTTATTTACGTTTACACTATGTAGATTTATTAGTGAACCTTTCAATAAACATTAATGTTAAAGGATTAAGTTTCTGTCCTCCCTCAATTACGTGCACTATCACCGTCACCACTAATCCCAGCACCACTATTCCCAACACCACTACACTAGGAAAGACACACCACTGACGACAATACGACACGTGTTTCGCCGCTACATGAGGCATTTTCAGGTAATCTAGACTCTGCGGTGGCTGACCACTAAGATCTAAGCGGTCAGCTACAATTTTTTACCAACTTTAATGTTTTTGAATTGTTCGAAACTATTTCCATTAACTGATTATAGTTAAATCGGTTATTCATTTTTGTCATGATCCAAGCTTATTTTTAGATGTTTCATTTTCCTGACTATGAAATGAATTGATTCTTTAAGTTTTCAAAAATTTTAATTTTAAACCACACCACAACTTATTACATTTAGGTCCAGAAATATCCATTGCCATCTGTACGATACTTTACTGGGTTTGGCGACTTACCGCTACAATCTCCCTGCAACCACGAATCCAAGAGCTGACTAAAGGAACTCGAAATAGCAGACATTGCAATGATAGGAATATCAAAGTTCAGCAGAGTGTATCGCACAAGAAACCATAGGTCAAAAGCACAACACTTCCAGGTGAAAGAGATCTTGGGGGATGAGATTGAGTAACACGAAATATATTTGTATGCGTGCGCGTCGGTGGTTTTAATTAGACTATTCACAATTGCCGCCAGTCTATATGGCGCTTGTGTTGCACAGAGAGCCATAACCCACAAGATTATGGCTGCATTCAGAATGAAAACAATTGATCGCCTACAAAATGAATTAAATAGAAATATAGAAAAAAATACTATCTTCGAAATTGTGTTGTCTTGTCTTGTTATTATATACGAAAAAATAAACAAAAACCATAATATATAAATAATCTGTTCCAGTACGGAACATCATCAGTTCTTAATGCAACTAATAAGGATTTTTGATGATGATTGCCTTTGTGTGAACAATCGATAACATAGCTTTGTCGGTATTAATTTCTACTGTCACGGATCAATATTTAAGCCTTATAAAGCCAGTTTTTTTTTCGTGCATATTATCAAGTATGTACCTATCTACGTGCGCATAATATATAAATATTTGTGCAATTTTTTTTCCAGACATAAACGATAATGAAGACTTTCGCTGTACTCCTCCTGTTCGCTGTGGCTAACGCCAAGCACGAACAATATCAAGGGTAAATTTTTTTCTTTATTAATTTTAGAAATGAAAATATCAATTTAAGTTTATTTTTTAATTTGATAAATATTCCTATGTTATCAAAGCTTTGATATGGCTGGGAATAAGTATTCGCCTTAACATTTAATAACTCGAGCAAACTTGGTTCCATTACTATTGGCACCACATTAATAGTTAATTTTAATTTTAAATGTTAAATTATTTGCTTTGCGGTTAAGGAAAGCATCGCAGGAAAGTGTGCATGTATGAGAAAATAGTTAAATTATTTCGATTGATGCAGGGACCTCACAAACGTATTTTGTGAAATTCTACTTCAAATCCCTATCCGAAGAAAGAATCTTTTAGTTGCCTTCAAAAAGGGGGAGCCTCTAAATTTGACTGTAAGCTTTTTACGATTTTGGTGATACAGTTATGATTATGTTATATCTTAAGTATAGTTTATTATTAAGCGGCGAAGCTTGCGAAGTCACTTATTGAATTCACGATGTCTGTCCGTCTGTCCGTCTGTCCGTCTGTCCGTCTATCCGTCTGTCCGTCTGTCCGTCTGTCCCACGATTATCTCGAGAACGGTTTTGAATTTTCAAATTCTGTTTTCAGCAATCGATTACTGATCACCCAGGCATCTGAACCTCCTATTTTGAAACTGATTGCTCAATGGCAACCGTTAGAAACCGCTACAAAGCTGATTGCTTCGCCACTTTGCTATGCTGTTAGCTTGCTAGGTTTATTTAGTTAATAGGTGGGCTCAGATAAATTTAAAAAGGAAACTCTACCCGTAAATGTGGTAAAATAGGGAATGTTACTATTTAGGCGATATTCTTGTTCGACCTTGAGATTGTAATATTTTTCTTGCACAAAAAATGATCAAAACATGATTTTGTGCCGTAAATAATTTCCACATAATAATTTCTAAAGCCGGGACTATAATTCTCCATCATACACTATGTCTTATCACCGACTTCAGAAGATGATATGTGGGAATTATTTTATTCTTTTAAGTTTGTTGGAGAGTCTGCTTTTACGTTTAATTTTATATAATTAAATTTTAATTTCTATCTATCTATCTATGACTACGCCTGCCGTAATACAGTGCAAATTAGTACGGAGGGTAGAACATTGACTTTTCTGTAACAATATTAGCATAACGCGCAATGCATTTTTGTTTACCTCACTTAAATTTGGATTTGCATTAGCTCTTCACTTAAATATGTAACGTTATAGTGAGGTGATAAGATTTAAGTTTTTGCTTTATTATAAGATTCTATTTGTAACTTGTTGATAAATAAATAAATAAATTTAAAAATATAAATAATTTCTAAAATTATCAAAAATACTATAAATATTTTAAAAATTATATGTAATATATTAATCGGAAAGAAAACTATCATAAATGTACGTCTTAAATAGAATGTAACGAATTAAAGTTTGAAATTTGACAAAACATATAATTAATAAAATAATACAACATATAAATAAAAAAGAAAACAATAATTAGGTATGAAGAAATCGAAAGATTGTAATATTTCCAGGCTGTATTGAAGTCGACAATAACAATTATTAGTATTGTCAATTTTAACTTACTCTCACTTCAATGATGAAAACATAACTAATAAAAGCGTTTGTAAACGTAAATTTTAAGTTTTATCCTTAAAGGTAGATTTATTTGTGAACCGTAAAACGTAACCGTATTGTGCAATAAATAACAATGTTAATGGATTTTTGATTGCATCAGAAGATCTGTTGCTTCCGTTTTTATTTATTTTTTAGTTCAAAATAAAAATTAAACGTAATATAAAAAAAAACTAAAACTAGAAACTTAATTATCATATAGTCCTACTCCCCGCGGTATCGTGCCAAGAACGCTGGCTGCGTTTCCCCGCTGAATGGCTAGCATTTGAGCGAAAAAAAAACCAGCCCTCTTATCACCAGCAGCAACGACCAGCCGCGGCTGGAGTTCCTTTAGAATATTATTATAGTTTTGTAGTTGTACTTACCATCAAATGATGCCGCATGCTCGTTTGCCCCCTCTCCTATAAAAAATATCCATTTCATCCAAGTTCAGCAGTGGAACTTTGAAGGTCTGTAGTGAATAGAATAATGAGGAGGACGATCTTGAAAATGTTTTTTTTTTCAGATGGAAATCGTATTTTGTCAAACCTGCCAACAAAGTACAGCTGCAGGTATTATCTTCTGTCGTTCAGAAATATGGCATCGACTTTTTAAGTGATCCAGCTGTAGAGCGAAACGGACTTGCGCTAGTAAAACCTGAACTACATGAATATTTCATTAAGTCTCTGGAAGATCACGGCATCGCTTACAAGATTCACGCTGAAGATGTAAAAGCGTTAGTATTTATTTTAATTTTAAAATGATGTTGAATAATTTTTTATTTGGTAATGAACTCGTACGCTACTACCGTACTTTAACCAGTGAAATTATCCTTTATACTATTATGATTAGAAGCTTCTTCACAAAATGTTGTGTCCCATTACGGAGAATTTAGAAGATTTTAGACGATAGTTTAAACCAGATAGTCGATGACAATACCATTTCAAGTCTCAAGGCGAGTTTTAAATCACTATTTTCTGTTTAATCATTTTTACTAATAGTTCACGTATGCAGATATTTACTACGAAAAGTTTTTTCGCATAACTTTTAAACATCACAGTCCACTTCAAACCATTATTTAGAAGATTTTATCATCTAACACTCCTGATAAAATATTTTACGACTGTTTAGAAGAAATTTAGTTTTTAGTTATTTACAGGTCCATTATAGTTTAGCTAACTCTTGTTGCAGTTGAACAGAATAAAATGGACTAATTTTTCGTTGTGTAGTGGTGCCGTAAGAATATCCACCACTCCACGTCATCACGTGGGTGTCATATGAGGTGACAAAGGGAAATGAAGGAGATGGGTAGCAGCATCTCTCTGATAATAACTCAAAATAACAAAATAACTGCAGCTGCAAATCCGCCTGCCAAGAGTGACAACATAGGCAAACATATTTTAAATTGAATAGATATATAGATATTGAGGCAATTTAAGGGGGATAGCTGCTTATCTTCCATTTCAGTTTTCTTCGATCGCCCCTTAGGACACCCACGGAAAGATACTCCGCCATTACACGTATTTTAAATTTGTAATGTATTTAGCAAATCCATATCTAAACATTATTTATTATGTGGTATTAATTTCAAATAATGATTATACAGTACACGTTGAGCAACTACGCGATTATATGATTGGTAGAATTAGGTTGGATTATGTAGAAATATACAACCGAAAAAGCTTATCTTGATTGATTTGCGATACGCAACGAATCTACTGAATTAAAAGATTATTTTCTATATTGATAAAGATGCTAATAACAGGAAACATGTGGAATTCTAGTTAAGTACAATTATTTTCGTAAAATCTTTATTAAATATGTAAGCAAATTGAATTTTTCATGATATTATTTTATAGAATAAGGGTGACAAATGAGCATACAATTAACCTGATGGTTTGAATGGTATCAATCCTCGATTACGAATCTAAATGCAAATGCGTTGTCACCACTAAGTACTAAGATGAAATGCCTCGTTTTTAGTAAAAGGGTTTCCGGTTTTCTACACTCACTATACAAAACAATGTAGATTTAAAGTTTCTATATTGCCTTGGCATTCGTAAGAGCGTAGTCCTTGTCCCGTCGACCCATTCATGCTGCAACCATAATGTGACTGTAGCCTGGTTCTACCACTGTATTATTTATTCCTATATTCGTATTCTAATAATAACTATGATAATTTTTTTTTGATAAGTATTAGTTCCGACTTCAAACAAAGAAACGCGTTGTCCCTTAGGACTAAGACGAACCTTTAATTATACTTTATTTATTCCTTCGAAACTGAAACACATCAATCACTGCATTTTTCTTAGCTTACCGGTACGAGGTAGTCACTTGAGGAGAACCTTTCTTTTCCATCGGTTGTCGGTTTTTCGAGTTTTATTTTCTTTCGAGTACGGCCCACTACAGATTATTAATTAATAATCTGTAATGGGCCGTACTTAAGACATAGCCTAATGGATTCATTAGGCTATGTCTTAAGCATAATTTATAAAAGAGCTCACATTCATTGTCTTTATTTAGATGACAAGTAGCCGTAGTGCCGAAAAAAACTAGTTTAAGATACAAATTATGTTGCTATTAGTTCAGAGTTACAATATTACAGTGATATATTTTAATCAAGTTCATTAATCAATATATTAGATAATTTAATCATGCTTCCCCATATATAGAGGCGTAAGACAGAGCGATCCACTATCCCCAAAATTTTTATAGGCGTTTTAGAAACCTTGACTTGACTGGAGCAAACTGGGACTCTATATACAAAGCATCTTCTTATGTCATCTGAAATTTGCAGATGATATAGTGATACTTTTCGAAACAAGCTCACAGCTGCAGTTCATGATCAATTTCAGTTCAAATATAGGACTGGAAATAAATCTCACTAAGACTATGGCTACAACAAAGAGTCGTAAAATGCCAATAATGTGAATGTAATTCCACTACAATACACTGAAAAATACATCTGCTTGGAAAAAACACTTACCTTTAACAGAAATAAAAACTACATTGATATAGAAAGAAGAGTGCAGCAAACGTGGAACAAATACTTGAGCTTAAAAGGAAATTTTAAAAGTAACAGGCCAATAAGTATGAAAACTAGGATTATGAGCTCTAGCATACTACTAGGGTTTGACATACGGATACCAAACGTGGAAATTTACGTTTGGCATCCGTATGTCGTAGCACGAATTGGTCGGCTTGACCGAGGAAGGACTACGCTTTCACAGAATAGCAGCTTAATGCTGCTGTGTTTCGTATGGTGAGTGTAGATAACCGGAGACCCCTTTTACTTGAAAAGAGGCATTTCATCTTAGTCCTCACGGCTGACCGGACAGGCTGACGGAGAGGTGGCAAACGAGCATACGGCTTACCTGATGGTAAGTGATTACCGCCACCCATGAACAACTGCAACACCAGGGGAATTTCAGATGCGTTACTGGCCTTTTAAAAATGAGTACGCTCTTTTCTTGAAGGTGCCTAAGTCGTATCGGTCCAGCAAAATCTCTGGTGGTAGTCGATTCTACAAAGAAGTTGTGTGAGGAAGAATACTTCTAAACGCAGATTTTTTACAATACAAACAATCACGCCTGTCACCCAGAGGGGTAGGCAGAGACTACGGGCTTCCATTTGGCGCGATCCTGACACACTTCTCTCGCCTCCTTTACATCCATATATTTACGCATACACGCTCGTCGGTTAAGGGTCGTACTCCTAATCTGGTCCATTTTCAATGTATCGCCGATTTGGTCGATAAATCTTCGTCTAGGGCGTCCCTTCCCGACTTTGCCGTTCACTTTTTTCTTCGTTCATTTCGTTTCGTTCATTTTTTATATTATATAATCTGTATTTTGATTCTTAAACGAGGATAAATGTTGATGTCTATGAGCTACAGCAACCACTAACCAGGTGGATTGTGTGCTCGCTTGTCACCCTTATTCTACGACCAAAGCAAAACACTAAACGACACCTGCCAGCGAGAATTAAAACGTAGCTGCCAGCTGCCAGCGAGAAGTAAAAAGCTCAAAATAAAGAAAATAGAAAAAATAAGACATACAAGAGTAAGAACTATAACAAAAGCAACGAATGCCTTGACCTATGCTCTAAAACGAAAATGGAAATGGGCAGATCACGTAGCGAAGCTTACATACCAGCGATGAACGGTAAGAGCAATCCGATTGAGTGGCTCACAAGGAAAAAGAAGCAGGAGAGACATCTGACACGATGGAAAGACGAGATCAAAATAACATCTGTCCAAGTTGGGTCCAAATAGCACAAGATAGAGACAAATTTGCATTTTTGGAGGAGGCCTTCGCCCAATCTGTATGTCAATCTGCGTAAATAAAATATTAACAATAAATCTTAGTTAACTTACCAAATAACGTAACTACTAGATATAAGATCACCGTGTAATAATGTAAGAAATCTATTACAGTCTATAAAAGTCCACTGCTGAGCATAGACTTTCCCTGTAGATTGCCTCATAAGGGATTTGGCCATAGTTGCCACGCTTGGCAGGCGGGTTGGCAACGGCAGTTTTTTATTTTTGTCCAGATCTTATTAGGAGGATGCTGCTGCCCATCTTCTCTGTTTTAGTTTCCCTCTGTCGCCTCTTACTACACTCACGGGACGATATGCGAAATAAAAAGCTTTTTTATATTTATTTATTTTATTTATATATTTTAAATCAATTTTTACAGGCAACTGGACATCGACGATAAGTTGATTGAGACGAGACGTCGCGAAAGCAGCCAAAAGCAAAACGGAACAATTTCTTTTGATAACTATTTGGAACTTGAGGAGGTATGGTATTAACTACAGTGGGGTGATTTATTAACATACATAAACACTCACGCCTGTCACCCAGAGGGGTAGGCAGAGATTATGGACTTCCATTTGGCACGATCCTGACACACCTCTCTCGCTTCCTCCACATCCATATACCTACGCATACACGCTCGTCGGTTAAAGGTACTCTTGATTTGGCCCATTTTTAATATATCGCCAATTTGGTCGATAAACTTTCGCCTAGGGCGACCCTTCCCGACTATGCCGTTCACCTTGATTTATTACTTTAAGTGTATTATATAAAATATAAATTATATACAACTATTTTTAATAGCCAGAAAATATTAAGGCCATTTGTCTTTAAAACTTTTCTATAGTTTATTTCAGTTCCTACAATACAGTCGACTGTCGATAATTTGACACTTGTTAATTTGAATCTCTCTATAATTTGAAATATTTTCCGGTCCTTTGAAAAATACTCGATAACTTGAATAAAATTAATATTAATTGGTCCTCTCGGTAATAAAAGTTTAATAAATAGTATTTTGTCCACCAACATACAATAATTTGAAGTCTGGGCTTCCCTCCTCTCGATAATTTGAAGCGTTTATCATGCACAGACCTGTCGTTTGTAAACATACATGTACAGGCCTGTCGATTGTTTACATAAATTCGAGAGACTTATTTACAAAATTAACATTTGTTAAGAATTGTACAAATGTTTTTTTGTAGGATAAGTTTAACAATGCACACAGTCCACCTTCTTTTTGTAGAAGAGGGGGCAAACGAGCATGCGGCTCACCTGATGGTAAGTGAATACCGCCACCCATGAACAACTGCAATACCTGGGCAAATGCAAGTGAGTTGCCGGTCTTTTAGAAAGGAGTAAGCTCTTTTCTTGAAGTTCCCTAAGTCTTATCGGTCCGGAAAAATCGCCTGTGGTAAATAAATCCACAAGGAACTTGTGCGAGGAAGAAAACTCCTAGTAAAACGAACAGTGGTGGTCCGCCAAGCATCTAGATGGTGAGGATGATATCGTGAAGTTTGACGCGATGTGCGTTCGTGAAATTTGGTGGTTGTAATTAATCCGAACAATTCATCAGAGCAATCCCCGCGGTAGATTGGTTAGAAAATACAAAGAGATGCAACCTCCCTATGCAGCGCCAATGAATCGAGCCCATCAGAAAGAACTCGGTCGTCAACGATTAAAACCGCTCTGAGCTGACACGGTCAAGTGGAAGGAGCTGGCACTAGGGTGCCCCGGCCTAGAGATGAGAACAGTATTCCATGTGAGACCGAAATTGCGCTTTGTAAAGTTGGAAGCTATGTGCCGGCATGAAATTCTATCTGGCTCTGCTGAACACGCCTTTCTTGGCCTTCCTTATTAAATGGCCACGAAACTGCACTTAATTTGAGATATCGGAGCCGAGGATTCCGATGCTAGTTGAGACAGCAAGAAGAGTGCCTTGAAACTGAGGAAATACAACAAAGGGGTTCCTTTTAGCGGTAAACGCGCCAACTTTTGTCTTCTGGGGATTGAACTGGATTAGATTTCCCCCAGTGAGAGACTACATTCACTCGACTTCAGATACAATTTTGTCTCAGTAGTCGGCGACGTTTACCTGATGGTAAGTGGTTGCTGTGGTCCATAGGGTTCTACATCTATCGTCGTTTCCAAATCAAAATGCTGATGCATTGTCAGCCGTGAGGACTAAGATTGAATGCCTCTTTTCAAGTAAAAAGGGTCTCCGGTTCTCTACACTCGTCATACGAAACGCGGCAGCATTAAGCTGCTATTTTACGCTGGTATTCTGTGAGACCATGGTCTTTCTCCGGTCGAGCCGACCCATTCGTACTACAACTATACAATTAATATACCTGCAGCTTGGCTCTACCACGTCTAAAACTGTTTAAAATAATAAATCACGAATTTTGATCAAATTCTTGTTTACTTGATTTTTTCCTCCTTCCCTCCTGGTTATCTCAACTTCTGTTATTTTGAACTCTTGGTAATTTGAAATTTCTCTCTAGTCCCTTGAGTTTTAAATTATCGAGAGTCGACTGTAGAAGAATTAAAAAAAATATTACTAAAAATTGAGAATTTTCAATATCAATTTTTTTTTTAAATTAGTGTAGTGAAGCGGATATTAAATCTTCTGTAAAATTTCATATATTCAGACGTCTGAGTGTGAATGAAAAATTACAAAATCCAATAATTTCTTACATACACAGATACAGGTTTTTAAAAGAAAACTATGTGAGCATATCCGTAGCCTACAAAGTTGAGTCAACTTACTTTATATGTATATATATGTAGTTATTTATATATACATTTATTGAGATATATATTATGTATAAATGTGTATATTTATTTATATATGTGTATGAATTATATATATTTATATATGTGTGTACTCGTATATCTTATGTATGTGTTGCATGTATATATTTGAACTGAATTATATCATGACAACTTAACTGCCCAAACTCACTCGCTGGTCTACCCAAGGTTAGCTGGTAGATAATGCCATATTGCATTAAGCTCTCCTTTTGTGCAAATATTTGGTGTAATAAAGAATAAATAAATAAATAAATACATCCTAATATAAAGCGTGTAAAATAAAACGATTTTATTACATGTTACAGATCTATGACTATATTGATTACGTTGCTGAACAATACCCTAACCTGGTAACTATTGTATCCCCTGGAAACACATTCGAAGGTCGCCCATTAAAATATTTAAAAATTTCAACGACAAACTTTGAAGATGAACATAAGCCAATCATTCTCATTGATGCTGGTTTCTTCGGTCGGGATTGGATCACTCCTTCTACAGCATTATATGCACTTCGTAACCTTACTCAGTCTGATATGCTACATGATTACGACTGGATTATAGTACCCGTAGCCAACCCCGATGGATATAAATATTCCTTTACAAATGTAAGTTTAAAAAATCAAACTTTATGAAACTTAAATCTAGGTATTCTATCTAGGAGTATCTACGGGAGGGTACCATAATTGTTTCTGTCGCCAAATTTAACTAACATGTATTTGAAATATATGTATATTTATAACTTTCGTCAAATGCAGAGTTCTTAAGAATGTTTTCCTTTTCCGATCACGGATCATCGATTAAATCAGCAACTGAAACTGCAATAAACAATTTCTGTGGTGCTATCTGTGATCAGGTTGCTCGTGCATTAAGGAATTGTAAGCTTAAGCTGAATATCGTCTCCTTCTCTTTCTTTGGTCATTTCACTTTTGAACATGGACTTCGCGTGTTGGGGATAAATTGCTTGAGTCGTCACCCTTGGCAGACGAATCGACGATATTAGTGCCAGATGTATCATAAATTGGACACTTTTTTATAGAGGGGTGGGAGAGGGGGCAAACGAGCATGCGGCTCACCTGATACTAAGTGACTACCGCCGCCCATGAATATTTTCAACACCGGGGAAATCGTAGGTGTGTTGCCCGCTCTTTGTAAAGCAGTAAGCTCTTATCTTGAAGGTTAATAAATCGTATCGATCTGAAAAAATTGCCTGTGGTAAACGATTGCACAGAGAGGTTGTATTAGGAGAAAATCTCCAAGTAAAACGCACAGTAGTTGAACACTATGCATCCAGATGGTGTGGGTGTTATTGTGAGCTTAGTTGAGATGTACTTTCATAAAATTTGGTAGCTGGAATTAATCCAAGCAATTTCTCAGAGCACTCGTCCGGATAAATGTAAGAAAAATACAAAGGGATGCAACATCCCTTCGCAGCGCCAGTGAATCAAGCCGATCAGAAAGAACTCGGTCGTCGAGGATTCGAGCCGCTATACCCTGCATGCGGTCAAGTGGGAGGACCTGGCACTGGACAGCCTCGGTCCGGTCCGAGACTGCTCCCCGTCACTGCTTTTAGTACTTAACGTCTGTAAAATACGGTATTGATATACCGCATGCTATTGGAAGCTATTAGATCTCTCTGGTATTTTACATAGTCGCCTCTTACGATACCTATGTATGAAATGGGGTTGTGGATTATCTTTCATTTACAGCACTTTCCATATTATGTAAGTTTATACGACAGTGCCTTTATAGTTAAGGGTACGGATTGCGAACTAAGAATTCCTCATTTTAAATCCGCCATTCGACAACAATCGTTGCAAACATTAGCATTTTAAGTTAGCTTGGAGCGGTTAATAGAATCGTACTGTTGTTATATACTGTAATTGCATTGTTTGTATTGATTATTAAAAAATATTAATGTTTTGAAATATAATATTTTCGATTGTTTATGATCGGTATAATAATTATTATTGCAATCTATCAAATAAATTTGTATATATATTTGATTTTTTTTTACTTATTATAAGCCAGTGCTTGAACAAAATCTCATCTGGTAGCAAGTGTGACAAAGCCCTAGAAGGTAAATCACTTGCCATAATTGGCAACGGTAGTCTTTTAATTATTTTAAGCAGTTATCAGAAGACTGCTGCTGCTTATTTCCTGTTTAATTTACCTCCGTTGCCTCTTATGACACCCACGTAATGATATGAATTAGTAGATATTCTATCACCACCACTTTGCGATTAACAACCAAACACTTCAGTAATTGAACTTTTTATTTTCAGGATCGTTTTTGGATTAAAACTCGCTCTACTGATCAACATTTATTAAGTAATTATTGCCCTGGCGTAAATGTCAACAGAAACTTTGACTTCTTCTGGAATACCATAGATTCTAGTGATACACCCTGTGCTAATAACTACGCCGGTAGCAAACCCTTCTCCGAGAAAGAGACGTTTCTTCTGAAAGAAAGTCTCGGCGATTTTATTCCTCGTGTAGTACTTGATATCAGTTTGAACAGTTATGGAAGCTTAATTCTTTATCCTTGGGGACATGATGGCTCTCTCTCCAACCACGCTTTTGCTCTACAAAGTGTAGGGGTTTCCATCGCGGATACCATCTATGTAAATTCCTTACCCGATTTTCCTAGATACACTGTTGGGAATTCTGTCTTAGTCACCAAAATCGAATCATCAGGTACTGGGATCGACTATGCTCACAAGTTAGGAATACCATTGACTTTCAACATAAGACTGCCAGGTATTGGAGAAGGTACAGAAGGATTCCATTTGGATCCTAAGTATATAGAACAGGTAGCAAAAGAAACATGGGATGGAATCGTAGTCGGCGCTAGAAGAGCTGCAGAGTTATTTGGAAGGACAAGAAAGTAATTTGCTATAATCTGCTCCAATATAGGTTTGAATTTTCAATAAATCGTATTAAAAAAAATAAACATTATTATTACCCTACCATTAACTTTATAGCTCATCTACTCCTGTGGCATTTTCATTCTTGTTTATTGGGTTATCACTCCATAGTAAATTCATCTATTTAAATCCAAATTAAAATAATTTAATTTTGAAGAAATAAGATAGGTACGACGACGACCTGGTAAGATATGCAGGAAGTCGATGGATGCAGGTGGCTCAGGACCGTGTTTTGTGGCATTCTTTGGGGGAGGCCTATTTTCAGCAGTGGACTTGTGAAGGGCTGTAATGATGATGATGATGATGAAGATAGGTACGCTGTCGCTTTTTATATAAAATCGAAGTACAAAAACTAATTACATGCAGTTCACCTAATGGTCAGTGGCTACTACAGCCCTTGGACACCTGCAATCAACTTAAAATAAAGTAAGGCACAGAGACGTTGTCACTTTTGAGAACTTAGATGGACTTTTTGTCACTTACTAACTTCCTTATAACTTTTTTATAAAGAAAAAGGGTGACAAACGAGCACACAGTCCACCTGATGGTAAATGGATGCTGTAGCCCAGACGAGCCGACCCATTCGTGCTGCAACCACTACTCTATAGCTTCAACATGGTTCTACTACGTAAAAAGCTGTGTTCAATAAATATAAATAAGCCCAAAACGAAATAAAATATATAAAAACGCACCCCAGGGAGATCAACTGAACTTTGAATAGCTTACATTTTAGAAGTAGGTAAGCAGGTTCAACTGTCGTTCGATTAGGGTCATGCGCATTGCGAACCTCAAGCAGTCTCAGGTAGAATGAACAAAAAGGATTCGAACGGGGACTCGTTTTGTATAGTAAGTTTTTCAAATGGGTCAAAACTGTTTTGTGATCAATCCTCAATTCCATGGTTATGTTGTTACTACTAATATGTCGATCTTGCTCCACTATTTCAACTTCGACTTCGACTTTATCCGTATTAGGGCGACCAAAGCATCAAAAAGTCAAAATTTCTGGACTGAAAACGCTTGAACTAACTTGTGCTACTCTTACTAACGCTGCATTTAGTCCATAAACTTCATGAATATTTTGCGCAGCTTGAGTCGCATTTCCCCTTTTATGCAATAAAACTTGAAAGAATGTATCAAATTTCTTCGTTAGATTCTCATTTTGGCGGACAGATAAACAATTGAAAAATGGCGGGAAAGTGTTTTTTACTTTTATTTTTCTCTTTCTTAATGTCCTATATGTACCTATTGATATTAAAAGCAGTCAAATATAAATAGTACAACCAAATAGATTTTCTTAAATTTTATGCAAACAAAATACGAAGAAAAGTTTCTTCACTTCCTTTTTTCTTCCCCGACCTATTATTATTGCGATGCGAATATAATTAGAGGATTTAAAATAAAAATAAAAATCATGTCTAAATTAAAGAGGCCCTTAAAATAATTGCAAATAAAGGACCTATATAAGCATTAATATTTGTTGTAATGGAAAAGTAGCCACCGTCTTTACCCGGGAAGACTTTTTCTATTACACACTTTAATGGTAGCATATTATCTGTTTGTAACAATACCACCTACTTTAATAGAGTTTGTTCGAGTATACCACTTCTTTCTAGTCTTAAGTGTATTTAAGTATTCTGTTTTACATCGTCTCCAAAATAACTGTATTATTTGGTCAAGTAAAGACTTGCGTTACAGACGTGTCAAGTGTCGACTTCTACATTAGGTAAGGAATTTAAAGGTACTAATTGTAAAAAATGTGTAGGGGTTATAGCGGTAGGTTCAGAGAGTTCGGAGTTTAAAACTGTTAAAGGACATGAACGACATTAAGTTTATAGCTGATCTCCAATAGATTTTTTTAAATGCAATTTAACATATTTTATATTAGACTCCCATAAGTCGTCGAAACCCGTCACCGGCGTGCGGAGGATTAAATTGCCAATTTATGCCTTGTCGTAAAGTTTCATCGTGAAATGCGGTTTTGTAATCCTTAGAGTTAAGGGATTTATAAAGTTCATCAAAATAAGATTTAGCACCTATAAAATTAGTGCCATGACCCGAATATAACGCAAAAAATATGCCTATGCATGAAAAAACCGTTGAAATGCGATAGTAAATGCAGAAGTGTTAAGATCACCCGTCAGTTCTATAATAACGGCGCGCGTAACTAAGCAAATGAGCAAACAAATATATGGATTCTGCTGTCTACGTCCTTTAAATCGGCTTAATTTTATCATGATAGACCTACCGTAATCCACACCTGAAGTTAAAAAATGGCTTAGACTGCATCACCTTGCTTACGGCTAATTTAAATGTAAATGCAGAGTGCTGCAGGTGGGTAAATTAGCCATAAGCGAGGTTTCGAACCTTGGATTGGTTTTGAAACATCGATTGAAATTACAAACTATTTTGCGAATGGATTTGCGCGCGGAATATATCCAAAAGTTTTGTCGTAAAGAATAAATTAATAAGTTATAAATTTTGGTGTTAATATTTTTTGGATAATGGTCAATAATAAATCAACAGTGTCGTCTTTGTTCGAAAGTTATAAAGGATGTTTCATATTTAATTCTATATGACAATTCCTCAATCTACCACCTACTAGCAATAAATTATTATGAATAAAAACAAAGAGGTTTTAAGCGTTTAGAAGGCTCATTCCCTGCTAATATGATTTTAAATCAACACTAAAGTGTACAGATTAGACAGCAACAAGTAGATCATGTTCAGCTCTTTATAGATGACTCAATTTAATACGATTCGACTAAGATAATTTTCTAACGAATCGATAAATGTATACTCGAAATAATTATGCGTTGAAGTTTAGACCATGATGAGCAGCGTAAAGCGTAAAGCGAATAAAGTAAAAGCGGTTCAGATGCAGTCACTAATAAATATTGGGTTTTATTTTTAATTTCTGGTAATTGTATATGCGAATCAAATTCAAAGTTTTTTGGAAACCACTCGATGTAGGTAATTTAGCTCAACACTGGCCATGAAGCCACAATAGATGATCCATTAATTGTTCTGGTGATAAAACAGCAACATAGTGAAAATGTGATGCGGGATTGCTATTTGTGATTTATTGCTAACAAATACATTGAAGCGATGTGGAAATGACTGAATCCAGGTAAAGGCAAACATTTTGGAAATATTGAACCGCTTTGATACAGTGTCAGACACGTAACGTAACAATTTAGCGAGCATTAAGGCTGCGCATAACTCTCATCTGGCAAGTGTTAAAGTTTTTATAGGTGCCACCTTGAACCTGGCACAAATAATACTAGCGTTCCTTTGAGTATATCCTGGTTGAGAAAATATAACTGCTCCGTAAGCAACTTTCCTAGCATCAGAAAAACTTACTAGTCCGCTGACATTCCGTACAACTTATACCAAAGTGAGAGGGTATTTTTAACCTTACGTAAGGTATTCCCTATATAGAAATGGTTATCTATAAATATACCAGCTGACAAGGCAGACGTTGTTCTGCTCTTTCCGACTACTCTTTGTCTAATATAAGAAAACCTTAAATTCGCAAAAAAATTATTGATGGTCACTTAAATATTCTATCTCTCAAGTTGAACCAAACAGCACACAGTGTACAAAATTTCATTGAAATTAGTTCAGTAGTTTAGGAGTTCATCGCGGACAAACACGGTGACACGTAATTTTTATATATAAAGATAACATTACGTAACCAAGTTAACCAAATATATATTAATCTTTTCCAAAGATCTTTCTCAAGGTTTAGTTATGGGCCATTTAATAAATTTATGGCATGTTAGTTCTATTAAGGACCCTAATATACATCGTGTTTGTTTAGTAACTTCGTTCTTTTATGTGTTTCTTGGAAGAATGAATATTCACTAGATAAATCGAAAGTTGTTGGTAGATCCCTATAATTAATTTAAACTAAGAACCCCGTTCACGATGAAAGGGCTTAAAATGGTTAAGAACATTAAATCGTTCCTATTTAACTTAAATCAGGTTCACATCAGTTTCAATTCCTTACAACTATCCCGAAGGAGACGTTAAGTTGGGAACTGGACCGTAGTCCACAGCAAAATAACTGGCGAACCAGGAAAAGAAGGAAGCCCTAATAAGGGGCCAACCCTTGTTAGGGCGTAAGCACATACATCGACCAAAGTTGCGCATGTCGATACGTGTAAACGCCATACAGAATACGGTCAAATCCAGCCACAATAAATTTACGTCAGACGATTTGAGCAACATGTTGAATAATAGCCACACTGGTCATAAAAAACTTTCCGTGAGCGTCACCAGCATACAGGCAACTAAACAGACAGATCACCAAATGCTTGCGGCGGGACTTACGCAACTTCAATACAGCTCGTATTGAAGAAGCGATCGAGCGGAACCAAGGCTCCAAAGCCTTTGCCAGAGATCTGTCTGCCAGAAAGAACCAACTGTCAAAGCTGAAGACCGAATGTGGCAGCGTCGTTTCCGGGGAACCTGAGATTTTGAGTGAGATTGAGAGGTTCTATGGGCAGCTGTACACGTCATCGTTGGAGCCGCACACAAGTGTGAGTAACGATCCAAGAGCGAGTCTTATCCGACATTATTCCGATGATATCCCGGACGTCAGTCTGAGCGAGATTAGAATGGCTCTCCAGCACTTTAAAAATGGCAAGGCCCCAGGCGAGGATGGAATTACAGCGGAGCTTCTGAAAGCGGGTGGAAAACCAGTACTTGAAGTCCTTCAGAAGCTCTTTAATTCCGTCCTCCATGGTGGCATTACACCGGAGACGTGGAGCAGAAGTGCGGTGGTCTTGTTCTTCAAGAAAGGCGACAACGCTCTCTTGAAGAACTACAGACCGATTTTACTTCTGAGCCGCGTCTACGTGCTGTTTTCGAGAGTCATTACGAATCGTCTCGCGCGCAGACTTGACGACTTCCAGCCTCCCGAACAAGCCGGTTTCCGAAAAGACTTTAGCACCATAGACCAC